AAGGTTTTTCCCAACGCCGCAAATTCCCTTGGAAAGACAAATACGACCCTGCCCTTTTACAGCGTCCGTGAAACAAGAGGAATCAACCATCAAAAAAGTTTTTTCTCAGACCAAATACGACCCCAACTCTCTCGCGATTTTTCTCAGACCAAATACGACCCCAACTCTCTCGCGATCAAATACACCCCCCCCGGTTGTGATTATCACAACGATGGCGTGCCCTATTACGAGTATCGCTAGTGGATACCTTCGCGAACTCATTTGACAAGTAAGGACATCGAGTCTCGGAAGTTACAAAACACTCCTAAATCGATCAGATCAAGAAGAACCTCATAAATGTCTGTTGACTCTGAAACTCCCTGCCTTTCTATGGACACGCATTGGAACGAAAACACACCGGTTCAGGCACGCGCACGCTTCACTTTTTTTCTTGAAAAGGAACTTCTTTGTGTGGAAACCTGACTTAAAGGCTATTGATAGCACAATAAAACGGATCGAATTGCCACAGATTAATTTCTCATACGAAATCTTTCCAATGGCGTACAACCAGCAGCTGTTGGGAGTTGATGGGGTGATCTCGGAGAAATCATGAGGATGACGTGATGCTTGATTGAACATTGACTGGAGAGGACGATATAAATAGAAAAGTGAGTAAATAAAGAGAACCAACCAAATGGCAGCAGAGAATAGGGAACAGCCAGGCCAAACGCAGTTCCAATTGCAGTGATATCATAGATTATTGAACACATGATAAGATAATTGGCATGAAATGCCATCAAGATAGGAGAGAAGGTATGGCCACGGAAGCGTAATGGATAATGCAACCGACTGGTTAACGAGAGATGCGGGTTCGAGTCCCGTCCCAGGTCTGACCTTTGCCCATATCCCAGCATTCTCGTGATAGCCCTCGAAGCGCGAACTGCGGCAGCAATTATCATACTAAACCATTATCATAATCATTATTATTGAACAGCAACTATTGGGGGCAGTACGGCGACAGGGGGGCATTTTGCTTCCCATCGATGTGTCGACCCATCTAGATAGCCTTTTCTTGAGTTGACACGTTTTACCATGGTGGCTAGACGAGCTTGCTCCAGCTTCACAAGAGTTCACAAGTTTCACCAGAGTGAGACTTGTAAACCGGAAGTAGTGAAGCAGTGAAAGTGCAAATGCTCCCCCCCCCCCGAGTCGCCGAACTGCGCCCAGTTATCATACTTACAAGTAGTCAAGGTAGAACATGGAGTTCAACAGTAAACCGTGGGATCTGGGTAGAATCAGTTATCCAGATAGAGTGGAGTAGGGCAGTGTGGATTTGGATTCCGCATAGCCTTAATACAGACCTACATGGGGTCACTCAAATGGGGTCACTTAAACCCACTACACAGGGCTCCTGAAGTTTTGGGAAAGTCTTTAAAAAGAGGATCATGATGGAAATGGCCTAGGTTCGGTAAGTCAACCTGCCATTTTGGATACTCAAGCACGCTGATATCGAATGTTACGATCGAAGGAAACCACGAGACAGCAAAGGTCAGCAGCTAGCGGTCCATTTGCGAAAGATGCACGAGACCTTTGCCCCGGCAGGTGTCAGCACGCCTGTTGTTCTCGGAGAATGGATGAATAATCCACGTTGTAAGCTTCACACTACAACATGGAAGTACCGAAAAGTTTCATTGTTAGGGGAAGAAGTTATCAGGAAGGATCACCAGTGTGATGTAATCTGCTTCACAAATAACGTATTATTTCGTCACTTCAGTACAATGCACTAGCATACATTCGCACTCAGCAGAGCTCATCCTGCTTTGCCATCTCTTCTGATTTCGAAATGCGCCGTTCCGAAACCTCACTAGAATTCGACTGAATAATGGGGCACCAAAAAGTTTCATTGTAAAAGACTCTGAAGACCAGAAAAGTACCCAAAATTGTTTCGATGTTATTGTGCCTTACGAGGTTGTAAGGTGGAACATTTATTGAAGTGGCGTAACGTTTCGATTTGATCGTCGTCTTCAGAGGCCTGAATGTGTATCCAAAAGTGTCCAAAAGTTTTGCTTTCGTTGAATGTTTCGGTGCTCAGCACCCTCCTCAGCGATGTGGGACCTGTCTACAGTGGTATGAAGT